CCGCTGCCCTCGTTGCCCCTGCGCTGCCGCGGACGTCGATGTGTCCTGCTCGCTTCCCGCCTTGCTTCGAGACCCTCCTCTCCTGCTTCCTTGCAACGCTTCTGACAGCGCTGCCGCTCGGCACTGCAAGATGCTCCTTCGCCAACCTCATTTACCTCTTTGCATAGTGGATGTTAAATTCTTTTCATCTTTTGCTTTGTTCTGCCTGAAAAACAATAAAATCTCTTGTTCATGATGCAGCAAAACACTTGGTGGTTATTTGCTTTTTAATGGGTGCTTCCCCAGTGCCTCACTAGGCCTGCCACACTTCCATCCCTTTTCCTTCTGGTGATGGACATCCTCCCATCCAGGGGGTCTGGGCTTCACAAGAAAAATTCGTGCATCCCTGATGCAGCTCTGAGCCTATCCACAGCTCCAATCAAAAATGAGCTTAGTGTCTGGTACCTACACAACCAGAATTTTGGTTTTCACAGTAAAACTATAAAAAAATAGGAAAAAAAATATAGGAACATGTAAAGGACTTGAACTTTCTGGAACTTCTGGAAGGCTGTGACACAAGCACATCATGACTAGGAAAGCTCTTAGCATTTCCATCAGCTCAGGGTCTTCTTCAGACCATATAAAGACTCCTTATACATAGCTGAACACTTAGAAGGAGGTCTTGGCCCTGCTAGAAGGTCTGGGCTACCAGGTTTTGATCTGAGAAGCCTCCACCATCTTTGAGCAGTGACTGGGTCAGCAAGAGCCCAGGTTTGAGCTTGTACCAAAGAACAGAGCTCAACATCTGCAGCACGGTCCCCCTCCCATGTCTAGTGCCCTTTTGTGACTCTTGCAAGCGCTTTGAGTCCCTGCCCTGTGTTGGGATCTGTAACCCACCTGCCAAAGACCATCTGAGTGCATGGACATCACATCATGGGCAGGATGTACCTGCTGCAAAGGAAATTCCGCGGATGCTCTTCCTCCCCCCTTGGAGAAGTTGCCATCGCATGTTTTGTTTCTTCATCATTTTATTGAGGAATTGCTCTCCAGGGAAGCCTGGAAAGGAGCTGCCTGGCTTTGCTGCAGGAGCAATATGGCATTAAAGGGAAGGTATCCGCGTGTTCCCCCGCAGCTTGCATAGAGCTACCAGGCTCCCAGCCTGGGTCTTTGGGCCTGGTAGCAGCTCGCAGGGCTCAGCCGGCTCAGGATGCTGCAGGGTTCTGGGCAGCAGGTAGGGAACCTGCCAGGCAGGATCCAGCAGCTCCCATTAGGCAGCGCTCGTCTCAGGGCAGCGTTGCCAGGTCTTCAAACGAGAGCCGCAATTTTAGGCCATGGAAAAAAATTCCTCACGAACATCCCGTTCTCCTGCCATCATTCAGCCCCACAGCAACGTGCACTCGGGGCAGAGACAGGCATCAAATGAGCATTCATCCACCCTGGCTCTGCCGCCCGCGGCCCTGCCTTACCTTGACCTTTTTCCCTTCCACGAAAATATTTCCAGCTCAACAACGTCTCCCCCTGCATCACTTCTGTGCTCCCACCTCCCGCTTGGCTCCGCGGCAGCAGACAGGGCTCATTTTCTCCCACATGGGGCTGCTTCATTTATTGCTTCCAATGTCCCCAAAGAGCCCTGCAGACTCCCCCCGTGCTCTCACGCTTTGCACCCCACGGACCCCGCGCTCCGACGCTCTGGCATGGGAGTTTTGC